TCATCAGTTAACATTCATTTCTCCCCCCAAGCTTACTCCAGGTTTCAATTAAGATAACCCAAAAAATAATCAATTACGGGGCGGAGACATTTTTTAGAAAATTCAAGGTATGAGTCAATTACATTTTGAAGTGATCTTATTGTTTGATTATAAAGTGATTTTCTTTAAATCATTACTTCTATAATATTTAAGAGCTAGATGTTATTACCAGATAAATATCCCATGAAAATCTCTATGCTGGCAATTAACAGGAAAAGGCAGAAAACCAAAACTTCATAAATAGATATGCAAGCCAACTTCATGATGGAGCTGCTGTTTAGGAACAATATGACCAGGTGCCCAAATAACTGCTCAAATAGAAATATGTACACTCATTTTCATATCCTGAACCTCAGTGTCAATGATATGGCCCAATATTAATTTTTTTAAAGGCTTTATGCCTGGAAGTCATGTCATATAATTTTCAGCCAGATGCCTTTTACAACTAACATGGGGAGAATTCTACCATAAACATCCAAGGTTGTACCTACCTTGGAGATCAGAAGTAGTAATTCATATAAAACTCATTATAAGTCAATTAATATAAAATTGTTTATGTCAATTAAAGAAACTACCATATTCAAAATATTTACTGAATAATTAACTTACTGGGAAGAAAAACTACTCCCAATACTCTACAGTATAAAATATTCTGGCAGTCAGAGGAATACTAGGTACAGTCTACCTGCCACGTATGAAAATTATAAGCAACAAAAATTGTCAGAGTATACATTGTCGTGAAAGAGGAAAATTGCACTAGACAGAAAAAAATAACCAGTACAGAGAACCAATCACCACACTCGCTACTCTATTGCTACAGTAACACCCACTGTTTGCAAACAGGTGTTAAAATAGCAAGCACAATTACATCACAAAATAGATTTCTCCAGTCATCCGAGCATCTGCAATTCAAAATTATCCCGACTGAACTTCAGCAAATTCTATAAAACACACATTTTTTTCTTTAAGAAACTTTTGGGGGCCCTTTGATAAAGCAATAAATCCAACATGTAAAAAAAAAGGTGGTAAACTTCTGTGCGTGAATTATCACATCACGTTCTGATAAAATATGCAGTGTGCTATGAAAATGTTTTTCAAGCCCGCTAGTGAAACTAAAAAATCTTTTAAGCACGTAGAATCTGGTATTTTTGAAAGATGCCATATTGGTAGCTATTAATGTTTCCTTCTTTATAAAAAAAATTACCCCCCAAAATCTATTACTCGATCCACAAAATAAAGACCCATACTTCTGGGCCGGGTCCACGGGCCGGGCACTGCACAAGCCCCCAGGCCCGGCGGCGGGCTCTCCTGCACGGCCCGGTCACCGCGCATCCTCCCGGGTTTTGTTGCTCGGCGAGCCGGGCGCCGACTTCTGCGCCCCGCCGCCCTCGCCGCGGAGGCGAGTGGAGTCGCCCGGCCCGGCCCGGCTCGGCTCCCGCGCGCTTCCCGCCCGGCGCGCCCCGGC